TTAGGGGGGGGCGCGGTGTGTTCGAGCGCCTGCCGCGCACAGGCCCCCCGCAGCCGGAACAGTCCGGCGCCCCCGGCCCGCAGCGGCGTTCAGCGCTTCTGAAGAAACTTCATTTTGCTTCCTAGGGAGAAGAAACAAGCACAGACCCTGTCAGGCACCGACCGCCGCTGGCGGACACACCCCAGCCCCACGCGCAGCCGAGACCAAAGCTGAGAAACAAATCTTACAAAGTGTTTGGTGGCCCCTGAAGGAGCAAGTGCAAACAAAAGCAATTATTTGTTCAGTAGGTAAATCTATTTTAAAAAACCTCAACACAAACAAAGGGTATCCCTTTACCAAGATTGCGAAGGATTTTGTTCATTCCAGTTGGTTCTATCTCTGGAATACTCTCCAAATACTCCAAGGCACGGACCTCAAAAAGGCCTAATTAACAAAAAACAAAACAAAAACAACAGCAAAAAACCCCACTCAGCTAGATGAGCTATTCCACCTTTTACACGTGGAGTCTTGCATCATTAACAAGGTTATGAAAACGAAATCATGCAAGTAATGTAAGCTGCAGGATCAAGCCCAGAAAGGAGAGAGTTGCAAAAATTCTTTGCTTCATAAGATTAATTTTGTTGAGTACTTAAAAGGGGGTGGAGCTATGACATCTGCCAAAACACCACCAGGACAAAAGGCTTCTTACAAGTGAAAATCACATAACATTATACTTTGAAGGTAAGTTTGTAAAAGAAGAAAGTAGCATTCATCCTCACCTTTGACCACATTCTTACTTAGCTCCCGATCCTGAATGAACCCTGCAAACATCTGTGTTTCCATGAAGAAGTGCAAGAAGTGACGCACGCTGCGTGACACGTGGGATTTACAGAACAGCTCCCGCTGAAACACCCTCTCCCCTTTCTCTGTGACATTCATGTGCAGGGAGTAGTGTCCAATGATCTCCACAAAGAACTGCACAAAAGCTTCAGAGACCAGGGAGTTCAGAGGCATGTCACCTGTGAAGGAGAACAGAGACGTTTCCCTCCACATACACTACTTTGGACACTCCTAAGAGGGGGGCACCCATTACTTTTTAGCCTGCCTGTCTCGGAATATGACATTTCAGATGTTTGATATCAAAGAAGCCACAGCTTAAATATTAAGATTTCTCTCGGGTTTCAACTTTCTGCAGCAGCTGAGAGAGGTTCCATTCTAAAGCTTTTCCAGTAGTTAAAGCATGTCACTTTCTAATGTCTATTTCCATTTACTCAATTTTACATCAACTACATGGAAGCTGTAGAGATTTGCTATTGTGAAAACAGTTCAATAGAAGTACCTTGTGTGCCACTCTGCTCATGTGACAAGATTTCACTTCGTTCTTCCAATATTTGTACAAGCGCAGCCTGAAGTTTATGAGGCAGGATCTCATCCTCATCTGATACCTAAAGAGAGAAATGGCCACAAAAGCATTTTTGTATTCTATCTATCTATCTACCTATCTATCATCAATACCACAAAAGCATTTTTGTATTCTTTCTATCTATCTATCTATCTATCTATCTATCTATCTATCTATCTATCTATCTATCTACCTATCTATCATCAATACAACCTTTTCATTGTTGAATATAAGAGAAATATGCCTAAAACATGCCTAAAACAGTTAGAGGGAAGTTACTCTGATGTGGAATATCTTGGTGGAGATGACAAATCAGTCTTGTAGCCATTGACATAAAAAACGGTTGCTCAGCACCCTCCACCTACAGACAATAGTCACACCATGGAGTGACCAACACAGATCAGTGTGTGCTATACCCACCACAGAGACTCAGGCTTTTTGTATCAGTGAAAAAAACACAAGAACAACAAAAGTCTGCTGAGAAAATATGACAAGTCTCAACATTATGATTAAAAAAACCTGATCCTTTATTGCCTCTTTCCAGTTGCAGGCTACAATGCAAAATAGAACAAAAAGTAAGGAAGGAAAAGATGATGCAAATATCCACCTGAACTAGCAATACTCCAGCATGTTTACAGCTACTTGTCTGGTGATGTAGAAGCACAGTAGGTGAAGTTCAGCAGAGAACCACAAGTAAACTGTAAGAATTTGTCTCCTAGACTATCACTCCTGGGAAAAAAAGAACCAACAAAACCAACAAACACTCCAGATAGATGAAAGAGAAGAAAGCCCTGTGAGAACATATACACAGAAAGACAGCCAGAAAGCAGCAGAGTCCCAGGGATTCGCTTCACATAATTAACTGACTAAATATCTGGTTTTGAATCCAGTGCAGATAAACAGCACCTTTGGCTTTGCAGAGCTGTCAAGCAACCTCCATCTTGCAGCAAAGATCTTGTTTTCTATTCATCAAATACCAATGCAGATACTTCTTCAGTCACTGGAGTCTACGTATGATTAATTAGCTATTGCTGATTTCATGCTTTCATCAATGCTTTTTCCTGGCACAAAGCCGTGAGCAACTGATACCGTTATTTCACTCACCTCTTGCAAGAACTTGTCAGCACAAAGATCAACAATCAGAACCTGGAGAAAAGATGTACAAAACACACTTACAATCAGGGACATTGCTGTACAGAAAAAAACTATTATTTTTTTTTTTTAAACATGTTCCCAGTATCAGGGGATGTCACACACAAAACTTAAGTTTTGCTTAACTGCAGCCTGTCTACAAGAACAATTAATATTATTTATCTTTGATAACAATGGAACACCCTGACATGTATCTGGCAAGTTCACCAACTGTCTCAGAAAAGTTCAAGAGTTTACATTAAGACAGAATCCACAGAGATTATTCCAGAGAGGACAGCCTTCTACCACTGACATCATCCCTCCAGTGAGCTTCACCCAATTCTCACCTCTTCTATGGGCAGGTCCTGGAGCTGTGGTAACGAGCAGGAGAGAATGCCAATTAAGAACGGGGTTGGGGAGCACACAATATCGATCATAGAAGATGGCAGGACTGGTATGTAGGTGTGTTGCCAAGTGAAGGGATAAAGTGTTGCAACTGCAGCGTGGCCACATTTAGACAAAGTGCTAGAAAGGTAAGAGAAGCAGAGTGGACCATCACTGTCTCATTCAGTACTCAGCTACAGACACAAGTTAGAGATGCTCAGGGAATGTGTAATTCACAGGCATTGTTTATGCATCAGCAGAAGCCACATGCATCCACTTCTGAAGTCAGTTACAGGGAGCTAGGAGTAGCATCAACCCAGACTGAAGTGGTAAAGGAAACATTCCCCTACCTCCTCTTGGGTAAAAAGCGTAGCACAAATTTAAGCATGAACATGTTGTGGAAAATCTGCAAAAAAAGCTTTTAAATGTAACTATTTATATGAGGTTAGACAAGCTTGCATATGAAACAGGTTCAATTTCAGAAGGAAAAATAGTATTCCTTAAAGAACTAGTCACTCAGATTCAGAGAATTAATCATAGAATGGTTTGGGTTGGAAGGGACCTGAAAGATCAGAAAGATCATTTTTTACCTTAAGTTGTCAGCAACAAAGATCACTCTCCTTTCCAGCAGGAGAGAAGCAAAGACCCGAATCATGTGAGAGACACTTAGACACTTAAACAGGCATTCAAAGTCAACGTGTTCAAGTCGAGAATCCAAGGGGCGGCGAAGCTCTATCACCTGAGAGGTAAGAGGAGAGGCTGGAGGAGTTGCAGCGCAGCCGGGCTGGGGCAGCCTGGCCAGGCACACCTGGAGCCCCGCAGCCCTTCCCTAAAAGCCAGTGCTGGTGTCTGTTACCTCATGTCCTGTGCCTGGCAGGAAGCTCCTGACAGTGATGGTGCGTCCAGGAGCAGGGAAAGGAGCCTCCATCACACTGCGCATGAACGGGTGCACCAGGGCTGGGGACATCTCTCGCCGCTTCTCCACTTCATCTAAGATCTGCAAGAAAATGGATCAGACATTGTCTTAATGCCTGCTGGTGAGCCAGAGGAGATACGAGCCTCTGTTAAGAGCATCTCATGCCACAGCTACACGGGAAGGCTCCAAGGAAATGTCCCTCTCCCTCCTTACTTGCAATCCCTGCAAAAGCTCCTCTTAACTGTCTGGACAGTCACATGGGAATAGATACCTTTGAGGATAACTCCCCATTCTCCAATCCAGTCTCCTGCTACTGCAGGAAATGTTTTGTATGTGGTAAAGAAATTCTCTCAACCAGTTACAAGGAGTAAGAGCAGCAAGACCCCATCCTCCTCCCCCAGAAACCTGGACAGAAGCATCCAGTTACTTTCTGGAGCTTGCAGGCTGTCAGAGACCCAAGGCCAACAGCAAGGAGCAGGCTCTCCCC